CGTGATTAAACAGTCAAGCTGTCCTGTTGAACAAGTAGTCAGCTGTGCTAAAGCTATTAAGGGGTCAGTTTATTTTTAGATGTATAACTATCACATGATTCTATTTATGTTGCAATCAGAACAGTATTTATCTGATCGACAAACAATAAAGATCTCAATAAGAGTGACGGCATTAAACCTGCAGAGGACTTAAAGGAATCAGTTCAACTTTTTCTTTAAAATGCTTCATTGAAATGAAGCATTTACATGAACTGATTCTTTCAAATGAATTAAACATCAAAACGCTATTTGAGACGGGCAACAGTTTAGGAGTGAACATTTGAGCATTGCAGTTAATTTGGCTGTAAAGCACAATACAGTGTGACATGAACACCAGCGAAGTAGCATTTTGTTGAAGTAGCTAAAAAGGTAGTAGCAAGTAGTGCTGGTCAAGTGTCTCTTTGTTGGTTTTTCTGTACTTTTTGTGTTTTTGGCAATGCTGTCAGCAATTCAGCAATCACATGATCCTTCAGAAATAATTTTAATATATGGATCTGATGCTTAAGAACACTATAAAAAGTGAATAAAGCGAGGAAACCCGTTGCTTTAAAATGATTAAATAATACATTTCAAGTGTAATTGAAAAAATTAAGTTATGTGAACTTGGCAATTCCACATAACTTTTTACAGTGAAACATTTCTTATTATCAAGGTTGAAAACAGTTGTTCTGCTTAATATGTTTTGTTAAAACTGTGATTTTTGTTTGTTTTTGATGAATAAAAAGTTTTTAAAAAAACATTTATTTGAAATAAAAATCTTTTGTATAGCATTATAAATGTTTTTACTGTCACGTTTGATCAATTTAATGCAACCTTGCTGAATTAATGATTAATTTCTTAAAAAAAATCTTACTGACCCTAAATTTTTTTATGGTAGTGTACACTAATGTATTTTTTTTCTTTTTTTCTGCAGCATAGTTTTTCCACAAAAATTAGAACAAGATGACACAGTAATTTTAGACCCCATGATGACCCCTAATTATCTAGCCTATGACGTATTTTGAGGATTTGGAAAGTGTTGAGTTTCTGTGTGTCGGTGTGCAGGATTTCTAGAGGAACATTCTGAACTCAGCTGCAAACTGTGTTTATTTTCTTCTGGGTCTGAAAGAGTGAAAGTTTGCTCACTCTTCCTGCCATGACTAACTGCGTAATATCTCATGTTGTTATTTAGCTGTTAGTCACTCTAATGGCTGAGGCAGTGCACAGGAATGTCTTTCACGTAAGGTCACTTCCACAGCTCAAACTTTCTCTCTGACTTTTGCTCTCTGCCCACTCCAACTTTCTAAATCTTCAGAGTCTCTGCCAACCATTTAGCAGCGGCCATTTGCCTTTCTGTCTCTCTGTCTGTCTCCCTCTCGCTCTCTCTTCTGCCCTGAGCGGAGTGAGTTGGCACATAGGCAAGCTGGCACTCTTCAGTACTGTTACTTAAACTTTGTTCTTGCTTGAGACAAAGAGGGAGGCATAGAATGAGTGTGAGAGATAGAGAGAGGGAGTGAAAGCAGAAAGAGAAATCTAAAATGGCTGCCAACGACAAACCTCCTCTCTGCTCATGAAATGTCTGCCAAAAAGAAAAAAAAACCTTAAATGGCTGTGTTGATGACTGATTCCTGGCTTGAAACGTAGCTTGCATGAAAAGAAATAGCTACAACTTTCACTAGAAGCAACCTCACTTTTACTGCAGTGACAGTTTTAGTATGGAAAACACATACAAGGACAAAAAGTTCTTAAGCTAGAGGCCATTAAATCATCAAGATGCTAAAGATATTACACAAAGAAGTCAGAAGCTAGAGGCAAAAATGATTTTTGATTTTGTTGAAGGAAAAGGAAGCAGTCCACTTGATAGGTCAGAATATTTCTTGGGTTACTAATCGACTAGACTAACGTGTCCAGATTACACTTTGGATTGTAGTCCAACTAAGGAAAGCTACTATTGCGTTTCCGAATTTGAAAAATGGCTTTACAAAATGGCGTGTTTGAGAGAAAATGGATGTTGTTCAAGCACATTTTATTGCATCACATTTTCTACCTGCATTTCTACTTTTTTGTTCGCATAAACATTTCTTTTATTTATGTTGTGAATGTCACCTGCGTTTCCCCCCTTAGATTTGTGTGGAAACTAGGTTTTTTAATTGGATTAGGTTTTGTTTTGACATTATTGTTCCACTTTTTGAGAAATCTACTTACAAAATGGAAAACATTTAGTCCATGGACCACAAAGAAAATGGCCGTTGTTCAAGCTAATAGTTTTGCATCATACTTTCCATTTGCATTTCAATTTTTTCTTCTTGGACTTATGTTGGAAATTAAATGAGGAGCTCTCATTTGGGTACAGTACTTCCACTCTTATTTACATTTTATGTTTTGGTGTCTTCAGTCTTCACGGGCCTTTTTGGACACCGAGATGTGTCAGAGCCTCTCGGTGCCAGTATCTCCCTCAAACTGACACTTTTATTTGTCCTTCCCTCCAATTCTCCTTGCCAGTGATTCTGTCTGAGGGCTGCCTGCCTAGAAACCGCCACAGCTTTTGGCAGGAGCGTATAGGACTCTGAAGACAGTCATGGAGGAGAAAAGCAGAGAGAGAGAACTGGAGCATGTCCCTCTTTGTAGCTGGCAGCGCTAATCATCCTGGCCTGCGAAGAATCGCAGCGATGACAGACATGTTTGTTTATGTTTTTGTGTTGGGTTATTTTAAATTTTTTATTTGTCGCACTTTTAAACATTGCTCGTCTCCTCTGGAACAAACTTCAGACCTCTCAGCATCCATCTGTCTCCTACTGTTTAAGGCCTCTCCAATTCTTCATAATCAAAACATTGAGTATTATGGCCCGGGTCCAACCTCTTCCTTTGGAATGTCATTGAACTTTTGAAGATTTGTAGTGTTTATAATTCTTTTTTTTTCTTTCCCAGAGCATGTGTATTTTACTTACAACAACATCATTAGGCTGCACTTTGCACATATATTTTAAGAAAACATTTCATATTTTGTGGCAGGGGGAAATTACGCTGGAATAATTATCTGAGAGGGCGGATTGAAGACTAGTCTTAAAGTGATTTTAAAGTCAACATAAAATCCAAATTGACCATATTTATTTTCATAATGCACATTCCTGGTCTTATTGTGATTTATTCAGGGGTGGTGTGTCTTATTTCAAAGGCAAAAAATACTTTGTCTTCGCAATTTTTAATCATTATGTAATGACTTTCTCTTCCTCTGAAATTACTTTTCTTTTCTAGTGACATCACCTAGGTCATTTGGGCTATTGGGTAATGTTAATCAATAGCCAAATTTAGCCAAACCGCTTTCACCCTGGTTCCATTTTGGTATGTAACGCCCACTTCTTATAATCCAATCCTACCTTGCATTTTGTTTAGCTAAATATCCTGTTTGGAATTATGCCACATTATGAAAGTGAAATTGGTTGCAAACACAAATTCACATTGACTTTTATTGGATTACCTATTTAAAAACAGATAAAAAAAAAGAAGATATTTGCCCCGTAACCGCTGTTGTGTTGCTGCTGCCTGTGTGTTTTCATGGGTCTTGAGCAGTAGTTTGCGGTCGGCCTCCAAGTCCTGCAGGCCACAAAGAGTGTGATAGTCGTAATGAAGCGTTGCATTCAGACGTGTGCAGCCGGTCGGACTCTCCTCGACTTTGAACTGGCAGTGGCGTGTGGCCCATCTGATAGGGAGCACTCTTATTTATTTATCCAGCTTGAGCTTTTTTACTGGCTTTTCTTTGAACGCCTGCCAGAGTCCTTGCGGTAACCCCTCCATTCTTTCATTCCCTATTCAGAAAATCCTCCGCTGCTTCTTGACTCAAATTCGTTTTATGTGTTTATCTGTGTTTTCCCCTCACATCCGTGTGGCAAAGAGCTGGAACGCTCACAAATGGGAAGGTTTTATGGTTGGATTAGGTTGTTTTGTCATTATTGTGTTGCTTCAATGAGTTTACACTTTGGCAATACAATCCCCATGCTCTGCCAGTGAAGAGGGTTCAACGAGATTACGCTCGGCCTTGCCAAACAAGTTGAAAAGAAAGAGAATATTTGAATGGTTTTGGAGCACTTTGATACGGTGTGTTTCTCATTTACAAGGCTTATGAGCCATTTGGCCGAGACTCAGTTTGTCGTGGTATCAGAGCGCTTGGCTGTTTGAGTGATTTATATAAAACATACAGAGTGTTCACTTTCTCTGCTGTTTATACAGAAACATGTTCTTATGTTGGATTACCAAAGCTATCGCTGACATGATCAACCACCATATGCCAACATGTCAGAGGTTTTTGTTCATTGATCATACACTTGCATTTGGGAAGAACTCAAGACTCTTTCTATACTCTAATCCTGCTGCAGTCTACAGCATCACATTCAACTGTTTATTATTTGTATGTTTTGTATTCATATTCTACTGACCTATTTGTGCCAGTAATTCAGATTTTTACTTACCCTGCCAAGATGTCAAAAAGGTACATTTTAAAATATATTGTTATGTGGCAGAAAAATATAAGATCTATATTCTGTTTCTTATTTTTATATAAAAATACTAAAGCAGGGACAAAAATATATATTTACTGTAAATTTGTAAAACATTTGTATTCAAATAATGCAGGTTTTGTAATACTATTTTAAAATGTACAGTTTATTTTCCATCAAAATATATATGTACAACATATCAGCATTTACAGCCTATCACTATCATGTTACTTTTAGATAAAAATTGATGCCAGTCACTTGACCGACAATATTTTCGATATATTTTTTAAATATAAATTAGACCAACTCATTCACTATCACTGTTCAGTTCATCACAGAAAACCAAATGTTGAAGATTGCAAATGAGGATTATTGTACAGTAAGCTGAACCTTGACCTCAACTCTTCAGACCCCTTCGCCTTTATATATCTATTGATAGAATCTGTTTAGTAGGGGACTAATATCTTTCTATCTCTTGTTCTTTCTCAGAGGCTGAACAGAGCAGCAGTCCTCGTACAGGCATTGGTTCAGATCAGGAGGACAGTCGAGCAGCCACCATGGGTAAGAGAGGGCATGTACACACACACACATTCACACAACTTGCAGTATACTGTGTGCTGCAGCATACAGTGCGGTGCAGTCCTGTAAGCGTCCTCTCCTGCACTATACAAACATCCTGTTTATACAACGCAACCTACATGCACTGCTTCAAACCCATAGCCACACACTCAACCTCTCTCTCTATCTATCTCTGCCCAGTTCGTCACACTCCTACCCACATTCCCCCGTTTCAACAGAACTAGTCTGAAAGGCCAGCAGTTTATTCTGCGTTACATGGTGGATACAAATCTAGCTCTTTTTAGGGTAATGCTAGATAGGTTAGGATTAGGAATGGTATGCGATTGAGATCAGGTCGGTGATTTCGCACATTCAGACCTGCTCATAATCTTGTGGTATTATTATTGGACTGATGGGATGGATGAGGTACTTGTCCATTGGCAACTCTTTAAAATAAGTTAGTCAATCGATTTCAGAATTTAATTGAGTTAAATATGATATTGCATACTGATTAATTTGTGGTTGTTGTAATGTGATTGTTATAATAATATACATTACTGTTCAAAAGGTTGTAGTCAGTAAGATATTCCGTGAAAGAAATTAATGCTTTTATTCAGAAAAAAAATGCATTAAACTGTTTAAAAATGACAATAAAGAAGAAAGACTTTTGCAGATTTCTGCTTCAAATAAATGCTGTTCTTTTGAAAATTCTATTCATCAAAGAATCCTGAAAAACAACTATTTTAGTCTCCGCTACTGTTTTCAACATTGATAATAATAGCAAATGTTTCTTGAGCACCAAATCAGCATATTAGAATTATTTCATTCAACATTTATTTTAAATTGTGATAATATTTCAGAATATTATTGTTTTTATAATTTGATCAAATAAACGCAGCTTTGTTGACCATGAGAGACTTCTTTTTAAAAACATTTCACAGACCCTAAACTTTTGAACGGTGGTGTATGTTTTTATGCATTTCTAAATTCTGTATTAATCGCATATATCAATATTTGCTGAGAACCCCACCCCCCACCCCCAAATAAGAACTTTAGCTGAGTAAAACATTGTATCTAAAATTTGCTTTTGTCCATAATTGACTACAACCAGTGTTTACTGGCTGAACAGACTCTGCTTATGTAAAACATTGACATTCATTCATTTAGATGCTTTTATCCAGAGTGACTTAGAAATGAAAACTAAATTGAATCTCTTTGTGCTTGAGATGCCGGTGATATCCTTGTGTTGGAAAGCACTCCGCCATCATTTATTCCATGTTTTCTTTTGTTTAACAGATGCCCCAGAGTTTCAAGAGAGCTTCATAACTTCAGGCGTCTTCAGTGTAACAGAACTGGTGCAAGTATCAAGAAGTGAGATGCTTTTGTATTTTATAGAATGCACTAAAAGGGATAGTTCACCCAGAAATGAGAATTGTCATAATTTTCTCACCATTTACTGTATGTCATACAGGTTTTAGGATATTTTTTCTTTTTTTAGAATTATCTTTGAGAGTCTAATCCATTTCAGTAAATCAGTTTGTTCGAGTTTCTTGTCTTTTTTCTTGTCTTCACATCTCAACTGTCCCTTTCTACCTCCCACACAGCTCATGTTTACATATTACACAAAATCGTCAATTTCACAGCCGTTTCATGTCCGGTTTGACAGTTCCTCATTAGAAGGGAAGGAATCCCGCCAGTCTGTCTAACGTAATTGATTGTGTTTAGCTGAAATTATTTTCTTTTTCCCAGATGGCTTCCTATTGTCTGGTAGTCAGATAAGCAAGGTCATTGTGTATTGCTCCTCACACCTGTGTGCAATCACAGTGTTTTACAAGTTATATACAAACTCATAGATTGTGAATGCATGTTAAGGGCCAGAGAATAATTCAATGTCTTATTTTGCATAATGCAGTTTTATCAGCGTTAACCAACATGCTTAAACCAGGTCTGATTTACTCCTACACCATATTTGATTTTCATATGCTGTAGGTCACAGTCATACCTGCTGGAACAACAAGCCCATTGTTCCCACATTATATTTACATACAACACATTCAAACATAACTAAACACACATAATACAGCCTGCCCATTAAGCTTGAGCTATTACTGTGCAATTGAACATACACAGAGTAATGGAATGATATTAAGAAAGAGTTTAGCTCAGGTAAGAGCAGACATGCAGTGGCACAGATTCATAAGCCTCGCGTTGATTTAGACATCAATGTGTGAGATTACACCCACCTAACGCAAGCATTTAACAACTCATGCTGCAAAACTCTGGTTTACTGTACACTAGATAACAATCACCAGTGCTAAACATATCAATAAAGAGTCACGGCTCATCCTCAAATATTCCTTTATGTGATGGTGGTGAGGGATTTATCAGGATGTGCACTACAGTATTTATCTTCTAATGCATAAGTACTGTAGCATTACTTTGAAATGTACCATGGTACTGATTGATTACTATTTTCATTTGCCACAATATTTTATGTTACCCCTGTCAGTGTTGAGTGGCTGTAGTAAGTAACACACGACGAAGGAGATAAGTAACAAACACAGTCATTATAAAATCCACACGGAACACTCAGGAGATCGCAGGATAAAAACATAAACAACCACGTTAACATAGACGATACCAGACAAATGAACTGAGGACACTCAGGGCTTAAATACATTGGGGGAGTAATCAAGAAATGATGTAACTGGTGTGTAGAACTAATTAACAACCAAGGAAACTAACTTGGGAACACAGGGAAAACAGAACCAAAACACAATGGCCCTCATTTACGAAACGAACGTCTGAGAGAAATTTGGGCGTACGGTCATTTCCACGCAAAAACTTGGCATTTATTAATATGGACATGAGCGGTGGCTACGATCAAATCTCATTGTCAGGTTTCAGCTTGTGTTTGAAAGTTTTTGAGTTAGTGTAAACTTGCATGCAACAGCAAATCTGGTGAAGAATTGTTATGAGAGCATTTTGTTCCTTTAGATTATTTTCCTGACCGACAACCAGCGCTTTTTAACTGATCATTATCCATTAAACTATGTTATTGGCCCATTAAAAATACCGGTAGGCTCCTTCTTAGAGATTACTTCATCTTCTTTGCCAGGTTACTTTTCTCCATTTCGTAAACTCTAGGGGCAAGGCTTCTAAACCGTGAAATTTTAAGGGCGTGATATTTAAATGATGATTGTTTTGAGCCGCCACATTTATCAACGTACGATCATTCGTACGATGGGATTGGAAGCATACAAATGTTTCATGTATCACACGTGAACAGTGACGTAAAATGATTTCTACGCTCGTTTCTATGTTAGATTGATAGATTGGCAGAATATGCATGTTACAACCACTATTTCAAAACACACAATGGTATAACAATGATGCAAGTCCAAATCACATGATATTATAGTGATACCATGTCCAAAATGGTAAATGGTATCATGGCAGTACCATGGTACCTTTTTTAGTTATTGTTATAAGTACACTACCATTCAAAAGAAGAAATTAATACTTTTATTTAGCAAGGATGCATTAAATTGATCAATAGTGACAATAAATGCATTTATAACATTACAAAAGCCTAAATAAATGCTGTTCTTTTGACATTTCTATTCATCAAAGAATCCTGAATTTTTTTAGCAAATATACACAAATATTTTAAGCAGCACAACTGTTTTCAACATTGAAATAATCAACGCTATTTCACAACCAATTCGTACGAGTGAGTAAAAGGTGGCTAGTTCGTATGAATTCATACGACCTCACACGAGTTGTCTAAACCCCAGTGATAGGTAGGTTTAGGGTCAGGGGTAGGTCATTCATACGAATTGGGAAACTCATAAAATATGTACGATTTAGCAAAAATCATACTAATTCGTACGAATTAGCCACCTCATAAAGTTCGTACAAATTGCCGTGAGATCGGGTTGAAATAATTGGTGTATTCAATTCGAAGCAGCGCTGTGCAGACCGATTGGTGTATGACATCAAAGTAACACAAGAGCAATTAGAGAGCAGACCGCTCTGTATGCTTTCGAATCACTTTCGCAGTACTTTGATGTCATACACAGATCGGTCTGCGCAGCCCCGCTTCAAGATGAACACACACCTAATGTTTCTCGAGCTCCAATCCACATGATTAGAAGGATCATGTGACACTTCAGATTAGAGTAATGGCTGCTGAAAATTATTTAAAAAAATTAATAATTATAATATATTGCTGTTTTTACTGTTTTTGATCAAACAAACGCAGCCCCATGCAGCATAAGACACTTTCAGTAACATTAAGAAATACCAGGAGCCCAAAACTTTTGAATGGTAGTACATGTTTGTTTCTTTATACAAATATGTAATATATAAATATTTATATAAATAAATATATTAAATGGTTCTGCAGCCAGTAAATCTTTTTATATGTTTATATTTTTGTTTACAAGTAAATGCTTATAGTAACCTCTGTATGTCTCCGTATGTGTGTGCAGCACCGGTGGTGACGGGCACGGGGCCAAACTTCTCTCTCGGAGAGCTGCAGGGGCATCTTGCTTATGACCTGAACCCTTCGGGGGTGGGAATGAGGAGAACCCTGCCCAGCACCTCCTCTAGTGGGTCAGTACTCGTGTCTCCACCACACATCTGCCTGCAGTGGGCAGAAATCCTCTTGTCAGAGGCACTCTGTCCTTGAGCTACTTTTGACTGGTGATCCAATTTATGTTTGTGTGTGAATTTATATGGTTTGAAAAAATAACATAAAATAAAGACAGAAATGAAGCCACATCTTTTTATCGCAATGCAAAATTGGCTCACATTAAAATAAGGATTCCATCTATGTCTAGCTTTGAAGTCATGAACATCCTCTGATTCAGTTCAGTGGTTCAGTCTGATGTTAATTAAAGGGTTAGTTTACCCAAAAATGAAAATTATGTCAGTAATATTCACCCTCATGTTGTTCCAACCCCGTAAGACTTTCGTTCATCTTCGGAACACAAATTAAGATATTTTTGATGAAATCTGAGAGCTGGCTCACTCCTTCATAGGCTGCAAGGTAATTGATTTCTGCTAGCCCAGAAAAGTTGGTAAAGACATCGTTAAAATAGTCCGAGTGACTACAGTGCCTCAACCTTAAGTTTATCAAGCGACGAGAATACATTTTGTGTGTAAAAAACCCCTAAAATAACGACTTTATTCAACCATCTCTTCTCTTCCATGTCATTCTCCTAAGCTGTTGACGTAGTGTAACAGCGCAGCGCTTCTGGGTTGTACGTCAGAACGTAGGCTCTCTATTGGCTGACGCTGGTCATGTGTGTGATGCTGCGTGTGATGCTGGCCAATAGTGAGCCTACGTTCTACTACGTGAACTCACTCAGAAGAAAATGAATAGTTGAATAAAGTCGTTACTTTTGTTTTTGTTTTTGCGCACAAAAAGTATTCTCATTGCTTGATAAACTTAAGGTTGAGCCACTGTAGTCACTTGGACTATTTTAACGATGTCTTTACCAACTTTTCTGGGCTGGCAGAAATCAATTACCTTACAGCCTATGGAGGAGTGAGCCAGCTCTCAGATTTCATCAAAAATATCTTAATTTGTGTTCCGAAGATGAACGAAGGTCTTATGGAGTTGGAACAACATGAGGGTGAATATTACTAATTACTGAAATAATTTTCATTTTTGGGTGAACTAACCCTTTAAGGAGTAAACCAGCTTTACCAGATAGTTTTGTCCACATTTGTTGTTCTATTGTTCTTTTCAACATCTGATTCATAATTGTCCATAAGTGATGACATTTGACCCTTTGATCGTGATTCTAAATGACTGTCCTTTTAATATGTCTTTGTTTTTTATTTATAAAATCTAAAGTCTATAAAATCTTTATTTATGAATCTAACACTTCAGGCATTATTTATGTATGTGTTGTAGTTACCCTTTTTTATAACTGAATATGTATCTGACCACTGTAATGGACATCTTACATTAATGGGTGATATATTTGTTTATTGGGCATTTCAATGGAAATTCAATTCGATTCCATTCACATTTATTTGTATAGTGCTTTTCACAATACATATTCAGAGCCGCTTTACAGAAAATGCATGTGTCTACATTACAACTTTGAGTGATCTTTTATCAGAGGTGACTTTGTCCAGGGAATGTCAATATTTCAGAAATCTACAGTTCTAAGATGATACAAATCATGCAGTTAGCTAACATTGTATTAATTTTAGGATGAAACAATGAGCGCATTAAGTAATTATTACAAGTTGTGAAAATAATGATTACAATATATTAATTCCATTCAACTTAAAGACTGCATCAAATACGGTGCAACTTTCACAAAGATATTTTAATTTATTATGAATGAATGAATGAATGAGGCATTTATATAGTGTTTATTTTCAAATATTCATTTAAATATATGATTAAATATGTAAATATGAATACTTTTAATTTGATCAAAAAATATTATTTTAATTTGTTATTTATTAATTATAGTATTTTATTTAATAAGTTCATGACAATAGTTGTTGGTTAGTGGCTAAAAAAGGCATATCATTTATATTTTTATGTAAAATTTTACTGTGATTATGTCGTCATTGTGAAGTACATTTGTGCCTTTGTTATTTCATAACTCATTAATCAAAAGGTTCATTTTTATATAACTATCCCAACAGCGGCTACAATGCAGATGTTTGTACGCCGGCTGTTGTTTTTGAGTTTTGTCGTCCTCTGTGTTGCTATAAATTCAACAGCCTGCAGCAGTTGCTTATTGGTCCCAACCAGAATTTGTTTGGCCTATTTATCTGAACCAGGCTGAAACTGTGGAGCATGTGAGATTTCGGGGCGGTTAAACAAGGCTTAGAGAGTTTTAAATGTACCTGTCAGAATCTCGCCATGAGATTAATGTTGGCTGTCAACTATTGCTATATTGGCTGAATTAGACAGAGGAAGCCCGAGGCATTTTGAGCTCAAGACACCAGTACACCATCGTGACAATAAGATTTGTCATGTGTGCATCACGGCAAAAACCACCTCGGGCGATACACAAAGCTGAATAAAAACATCACAAAACTACATGCTTACATGCACCTGGGAAAGATGAGTGAGTGTGAAAGGAACATGGCCCCTCACTCAGGTCTGCTGAGGGCAGTTTATTTGATTTATCTGCTTTTGTGGTTAGCTCAAGCCTCGGTCCTGATTAATGCGCTTATTTTCCATTAAACGCACTGCAAAGCTAAAACAAAAGGTGAATGTTGGCAATCTGCTCAATGTAGTCAAGTGCCTGGGAAAAGTAGGTCCGAGGGACATGCACAAAGCAGGGCCAGACAGTTTGGGAGAGCATATGTGTCTGAAGGTTCGGCTAAACAATGCTTTGATCCATCATTCATTTTCTCTTCTCTTTCTCCTTTTTGTCTCACACAGAAGTAAGAGACACAAGTCAGGATCCATGGAGGATGATATAGACACCAGCCCAGGGGGCGAGTACTACACCTCTCCCAACTCCCCCGCCAGCAGTTCACGCAACTGGCCAGAGGAGATGGAAGGAGGTTAGTCTTGTGTTTGATCTTACAATTAAGATTAAGATTTTCATCTATTTTACTTCGGCTTTTTTTCAATTAACGAGAACAATTTTTACATTTTTAACACTTGGGTTTTAGTTGTACCATTGTCATTTCATTTTGAACTCCAAAGTATTAAAAACGATTTTGTTGCTATGATGAAGTGCTGCTGACTGAAATGATGTGATCTAGTCGACACAGATCCAAAGCAATGAATAGTGGTAGAACTAACCGATTTGTCGAGATTTTCATCTCCATAAGACGCCCATTCAGATAGTGAATGACAAACAGATCAGGTTTTCAACTGCAGTAGAGGAAGTCTGAAATCACAAGCTTAGGCTGGACTTGGATTTGAATTTCCTTAACGTAGTGCCAAATCCTAATTAATTCATGAACTCTCATTTTTTTGTGAAAGTCTGCAGAAAGCAGCACTGCACTCTGTTCTGTCCCTTGGAGCAGAATTGTTCCGAACTCAGTATTTGCTGTCTTTTCATACTGAGAGAGATCTACTGTATCACTGTAGTCAATCATTTGACCTTTGACCCTTCGATTGTCTACTCTGCAAATATAATCTTTTCGTTATACTTTTGATTCCTTGGGATCTTCGTGAAGCACTTCTAGGTAAATGGCTTATGAATAGAATAACTGGGTTGGCTGGTTTACTGCCATGCTCATAATGCTATTTTGTGGTTTTCATTTCTGTTTTTGAGGATTTTCAATTTATGTAGCAGCACTGTAAATTGGGACTAGCTTATGTGTGACAGTGCATATCAGATTCACACTTGATGCGAAATCATAACTAATAAATGATATGTGTGTGAAGGATCACTGCCTTTGATGCTGTGAATAGCTGAGGGGTTTTGACAGCCATCAACGCACCGTAAAGACCCTTAAAAATCATATAAAACCATTTTAGACAGCTATTTTTCTGCTGATGCAGCTCGACTAATTTCAGATAAAGTAAGGCAAGCAGTAGATATAGATACCATACTGTAATCCACCTCTGGGTTTATGTAAGGGGAAGTTTCAATGAGCAATCTATGTTGGGGGAGTTCAGTTTGTGGGAGCATACAAGAATATGTGCGGTTCATAGGTGCACATGTAATCTTAATGCTGTTTTTAGTGAAATATATTTGATGTTGTGTGACCTTGCTGAGTCTGCTTTTAATACTATGTAAAATTGGTTCAATGAAAGACTGTTCTAAAACCTAGCGATCTCCCAATTGAAGGAGCATTTTAAGGCAACACTCTATAGGCTGTTTATCTGAATTATTTTGCTTTATAATATATCTTGTTTTTGGCCAAATTCTCAGGCTTGTATCCTTTGCAAAAAATGTAATCTCATAATGAATTGTGAAGAGCTCAGAATTTTTTTTAATTTAAGATCACAGATTATTATAAATATAATGTTATATAAGTTTAAGATTGGTAAGTTTTTAAGAGTCTTGTATGCTCAGCATATATTTAAAAAAATATTTATTTAGTGGTTTATTCCTGTGATGGCAAAGCTGATTTTTTAGAAGCGGTCTTCAGTCACATGACCCTTAGTGCTCAAGAAACATTATTATTATCAATGATGAAGTTGTTCTGTTTAATATATTTTTTTTCTGGAAACTTTTTGATCCACTTTTGTGGATTCATAGGAACAGCATTTATTTGAAATAGAATTTTCTTGAAACATTGTAAATGTGTTTACTGTCACTTTTGGTCAATTTAATGCATCCTTGCTAAAAAAAGAAAATTCTTTCAAAAATCATAATGACCCCAAACTTTTGAATTGTAGTGAATATATAAAATAACATATATTAATATTAATACCATTTAATTTGTTAAAGCATAATATATTATAATAATAAAGCATAATATATTTAATTAGATGTTGAAAGATATTTTGTTTAAAAACTGTTTAATGTAATTAACATTCTTTTACCCAGTATTTGATCTATTTTTGTTTATTGAATATTGTTCCATTAGCTTAGCAACATTCTAATGATAATGAGGTTTGATGATGGTTAGGATGCTGTGTTCTGTAGGAAGTTGGTAAGGCAGCTCACTACGTTTTGGAAATGATGAAAAATGCCCTAAAGAAAAAGAAAAAACATTTTTTAATTAATTTGCGTGCATTGACATACAGTATCTCCAGATCAGCCTAAATCCTTCAGAGTTTATTGTGAGATTAGAAAGGTGCTGAGTTGGCATTTCAGGCCTTGCATAACATCTGACTTCTGTCACACCCTTGTGAATATCCATTAACCCTCCATGCAAAACTGTTGTTTAAGATCTCAGGAGACCTGCTTCACCCCTCCCCATTGATCTATAACCAGCAGGCATCTGAAATCCATCACTGTGTATGAAGTAGTATCACTGTTCTCATATCAGGCTCTATGGCAAATCCCATCAACGTACACACAGCTGAACCCCCTGTGGTGGCCCGACCCTGCCCACCTAACTTCCTGTCTAGACAATCCTAATGAGTTTCTCTTTAACAATCCTCCATCTGATTGCTCTGTGCTCTGGCTCTATGCTCACCTTTACAGGTATTTATGGATTGAGACCTGGAGGTTAAAATGTGGCGTCTGTATCCATTTATGATTTGTTTGCCTAATGGTATAGTTCACTTACAAATTAAAATTCTGTCATCATTTACTCACCCTCATGTCATTCCAAACCTGTATGACTTTTTCTCTTCTGTGGAACATTACAAATTTTTTTTGAAGAGCGTAGGGACTCCATTGACTTTCAGTAAAGAGATTTTTTAAATCTTCTTTTGTGTTCTCCTGAAGAAAGTAAGTCAAACAGGTTTGAAACAACATCAGGGTGAGCAAATATAAATGACATCCTATAACTACAAACAATATGAAAGAACATTGAATGAAGATCTTCACATATCCTTCTTTGAAAACAAAGCAACTTCTGGGAAATTAAGAAGTGATTTATTAGGAAAATCTTCCATGTAGAGAAGGTTCTAAATAGATCACTCTGGAAACATCCATATGGAGACTGTATCATTGCATTGACCTTAAATAACCAGTGCAGATCATCAGCTACTATTTTCCCATAATCCCACTGGTCTGGCCGCAAGAAGAGAGTGCGCTCTCTGCATTGCACCGCAGCACTGTCAAAACTCCCGGTTCTCTCATCACACTGCGCCACCTTGTGGTCAGTTGTTGTGACTGGAAGCATCTGCTGTGACCTGACAGAAGCATCGAGAGTGACCACGCAGTGCTCGTTAATTAGCTGACGAAGCTTTCCTTTAGACTCAGAAAAGTTTGTCCTTGTATAGAACAATGGAGCTGAATTTGCAGTATTCTGTATGCGTGAAGCACGTGCTTTCCTCCCCCTCCTCCATCTCTCTCTACTTTTCTCTCTTTTTTTCACACAGGAATCTCCCCTACAGTTAAGAAGACAGAGATGGATAGTCCATCTCCTCAAGAGAGCTCTCCACGCCTCGGCTTCACACAGCACCACAGACCTGTCATTGCAGTGCACAGCGGTGAGGGGACAACACACACACACGTGCATATATGTCTGTCTGTTCTGTCATCACTGTCGACGCTCCACACACAGCAAATGGCTAGTTGGGAGAAACAAATGTACAGTTTCTACTCTTGTGTTAAGTTATCCAAACTGTCTCTGCTAATATAATCATATCATGTACAACCTGCTTTATGTGGCCCTAGTAAAAGTCAACATGAATTGCCATCCGCTACCTATTTTGCTTTCTTAACGTTTTCCTGAGTGAAATAAGATACTGAACAAGAAAAAATGTAGGGACATTAATTTACCCATCAGGAATTGTGAAAGATGGTGAAAAGTTGAAATAACATACCAAAATGGAGCCACACTGAGTGAAAAAGGGTCTAAATAGCTATTTGGCTATTGGTTAACATTATCTTGTGATTAACATTAAGTGATTAAGGCAAGATTATGATGATTTTGATGAAAGGTTATGAAGTCAAACAATTTTTTTTTTTTAGGAATAACATGAATTGTTCTTAATGAGACCAGAAATGTAGATTAAAGTTGCGATGTAATGGAGGTAGGACAGTTTTTTTTCTTTCGCTTTGTGATTATATGATTATGGGAAAATAAAAAATGTTGGGTGGGGTCTATCTATCCATTGTTCATTGACAATTTGATGAAAAAATTATGGGTCAATTAGATTTCTAAAAAATGAAACGTGCACGGATAAATCGCTCACAATTTTATTGGGCTCAGACGTGGGTGCTGTCTCTGTCAGGTCATTTCTTATTGAAGTACAGTGATCTGTCGTCTCCAAAGCCTCACAGCTGGCTGAGTTATGCTCTAACAATTAGCCTGGCTGTTCAGATGACTTGGTGAAGCGTGTCAGCCATATGGTGCCTGCACTGAAACATCCAGCCGATTGTACCTCTCTGTTGGGCATTGCCAAATGTGTTACAGCATACAAAGTACTCTGTAGAGAGTTTTGATGTTTAAATATGACAGTGACGTGACAACTGAACAAAGCTCTTTAATTTAGACATTGGCTATGTGATGCTTTATCAAATGTGTCACTAAAATGCATGTGGTGCACATTAATGTGCTTGCTTATTTACAGATATACTACCATTCAAAAGTTTGGAGTTGGTTTAGTTTTTTTAATGTTTTTGAAAGAAGTCTCTTATGCTCATCACGCCTGCATTTATTTGATCAAAAATACAGTAAAAACTCTAATATTGTTTTTAATGTTAATATATTTTAAAATCAATTTATTCCTGTGATGGCAAAAACTGAATTTCCAGTTTGTGATCCTTCAGAAATCATTCTGATATGCTAAATTGGAGTTCAATAAACATTTCTTATTATTATCAATGTTGAAAATAGTTGTGCTGCTTAATATTTTTAAATAAAAATCTTTATTATTATAATCTACATTATATAATGTCTTTACTGTCACTTTTGATTAATTTAATGCATTCTTGCTGAATAAAAGAATGTAAAAAAAAAAACGCACTAACCGAATAGTTCTTGAAGTTCCTTAAAGGCAGAATGTCTTTTATGTCCTTCAGGTATCTCTCGGAGTCCACATCCCTCCTCGTCTCTGCACTTCCCTGCTGGTCCCATTCTCCCCCAGACCGCCTCCACCTACTTCCAGCACACGGCCATCCGGTACCCCCCACACCTCAGCTCTCAAGACCCGCTCAAGGACCTGGTCTCTCTGGCCTGTGACCCGTCCAATCAACAACCCAGCCCGGTAAGATCATCCCATGGAGCATTCAGACACACCTTATATGACTTTCAGCATACATCTCTAACTATCACAGATTAAGGAATGTGAAAAAACAAATCCCAAATCATCCAAACATCAGCTCCACCAATCAGCAGCCATAATTCTTGTTGGACCCCGTAAGGGAACGTGAGCCAAGCACAACTCTGAGCCTGTCATGTTTATTATATTCAGCACTGGATTTGTTAACATGTCAAATAATTTTTTTTTGTTGGATTTGTACTTAAAGAGGTCATATTTTCCTGGCCAGTTAAAAACCTTATCATGGAATACAACAGCAAATCTGAAGCTCCTGACTTAGTGGAGGAAAAGTGCTGTTTCTCATTCTACATGCAACGGGAGAGTTTCTTAAAAGGATATTTATCTAAAAATGACAATTCTATCATCATTTACTCACTTTCATGTTGTTCCAAACCTGTATGACTTTCTACTATAGAACATAAAACATATTTTGAGAAATGTCTCAGTTATTTTGTCCATACAGTGGAAGTCAATGTTAACCAAAACTGTTTGGTTACCAGCTTTTTTTCAAAACAATCTTTGTTTGTGTTCCTTGGAGATATAGGCCCTACAGGTTTGGAACGACATGAGGGTGAGTAAATTATGACAGAATTTCTATTTTGTGTGTGTAAACTGTCCCTTTAAAAAAAAAATACTATTTAAATCTTTAGGTCAGAGAGAAGGTCATTGGGAAAAACTGCCATTTTTTTTTTACACTTGTTGTAATAAAACCCCCCACAAGTGGACATTTCTGGAATAAACGATACCAGAAAGGATGAATTAAGAAATCAACTGCTTACTTACTGCATATACAGTATGTTTAAGTGTGTGCAAGTGAGAGAGAGTCAGACAGAGGAAAAAAGAGACTGATAAACATGCCATCATGTTCTGTACATGGATCGTAGCCCATGTAATCTGAGCCAAAAGAGCTGACCACTGCCATGGTCAGATTTCACCCTTTCCGTTAAAGCAAGCTGCAGTCTAAACACCAGCATCCATCAGCCCTATTTCCTTCACACACACTCACAGACAACAGTTTCTCAGATTGTTGGGAGGGGAAAATCGGGGATAAATCGGCCTAAAACTCCTGTAGTCTGAGTCTGAGTCATTTTTAAATGACCACAAACATGACGAAAAGAAATCATAGATTTTAACCGTTTTGTTCCTCTAGTGTTTGGAGTGCCGCGATGTGACCAAGAAAGCACACCACACACTAACAGATTCCATTCACAAACAACAGAGTCCCGCCTGTGAACATGGGAAATCTTGCAAAATCTCTTGCATCAAACGTGACTTTAAAGTAAACAAACATGGCGGATGGCCGGCAAGAAGAAATGGCGCATTTAGTGTATGGACTGCTTTTCACAGAAAATTCGGAAAATGTTTAGATGAAGTCATGGAGACGGTGTGAACATGGACTTTACATGTTACAGCAGGAGCTGGAGTTGTGTCTTCAGTCAGCTCGCTTTCTGATTGGGTGTTGTTTCGTTTCACGTGATAATCTCCTGAGCGTACGCGCGTTTGTCCCCGTGGTTCCCCCCACACAACAGGATTTCTGATCGTAAATATTCAAGATGTTGAATATTTACGATTCGAGATCGGGGCGGCTCCGACGTTCTTCCGAGCAGATTCAGTCACTCTTAACACACCTTGCACCACAGGAAAATCTGATAAGATAATCTGTAGAACCATCAAGATAATCGGGACTTTATCTAGGATTGTCGGAAGGGGAGAAATCTGTCCAAAATCGCCCCGAATATCTTGTAGTGTGTACCTAGCATTAAACAGATTTGAGTGAATTTTTAGTAATATTTAATTGGGCATGGTTTCCCCTAATTTAAATGTAATCTTAAAAAACACCAATGAATTTATTTAATATCAATAACTGTTTTGCTTGATAACTGTTGAGTGTTATTTCTTCTCTTAATGACTTATCATACACCCCAGGATGCCATCTGAGTAACATTAATGTCTCAACGGAGTGAGAAACAGTTGGAGTTGGACTGGCTGGATCACTTAATTCTGACACTGACATAAAGAACTAACACAAAGTGTGAATGACTTTTCCTCAGGAGTACCTGTAGGAGAGTCATATGCCATTTCCACGTCAGAGAGAGAGAGTGAGAGAACAGGAAATAGAGCCAAGAAGGAGGAGATCTCTGTGTCTAGGGGTGTTGCTGATGTTGGCAATAAAGGGGGGAAGAGAGAGAGTGTATGAGGGAAAGAAAGAGAGAGAGACACACATTTATGAATCTTGCCCTGTGGCAGCCGGGCCCAGCCGAATCTGCAGACTCATTGAAATTCCCCCTACTGCAGTCTGACTGTAGCCAAGCAGTCACAAAGAACAGCCGCACCGACCCATAATGCCGCTGACTCACTCACCAGCTATTGTTGTGCAGGGCAGTGAGTGTGCAGTTTTACTCGGCGAGAATGCAAACGAGAGCCAAACCCTCAGAGAGCGAAAGAGAGCATGATGGAGGGTTTTATGGATTTGCGGCCATGGTAGGACGACAGAACGATGCATAATGGTTCGTTCGCTAGAACAGTGTGCACAACGTTACTCTGTTTCTCCCACATAACTGCTGATGGCAGGAGGAGGTGGAGATACAGTATGTGACTGGACTTTAAAGTCTCATCAGACTGGGACATAAAGTAATTTTTATTTTTATTTATTTATTTTGACACAGGGACAATGTAAAATATACATTAACCTTAAAAAGGAGAGATGCATTTTACCAGGTTGTAGCACAATTTCCACCTGTAGTTTTTTCCACTTTAAATAATATGTGCCTAAAGAAACAAAGTACTTTAGACAAATACAGCATGTTTGGAAATAACTTCTAATATTTTGCTTGCATTGTATTTCCCTATTCTGTGTTCCATTCAATGTCGGATGCGGGATATTTTCACTAGATTTTGTGCTAGTTTCTTGCTAAAATTTTATCTTGCGCTTGGAAAATGAAGCGCAATGGCAACGCTAGCATGTTTTGCAGGTGTGCAATTATCAACAGAGAGGGTTATTTACTATTTTTTTACACAACTGTCTCTGTAAACATTTGCTTAACAGGTTTTATTATCTGTAATGTTGGAACTAATTTTGAAAGCATTCCTATAGCTCAAACAGTTGCGCTAGCAACAACAGGGAGATGGGTTCAATTCCCAGAGAATGCATGAATTGTATACCTTGAATGCAATGTAAGTTGGTTTGGATAAAAGCGTCTGCCATTTATTATGTAAATGTCATTTAAATTAATTTTGTGCCCTCAAGTGTCATGCATCTTTTTCAGTGTCAGGGTTGATAAGTTTGAAGTCTTCATGTGGCATATTCCATTGCACTTTTCCAAGTAGGACGTTGGAAATTCTGACTATTTTAAATGAATGGAACACTGTATTAGTTCTCAAAATCAACATATTATAGAGCTGTTAGAACCTGCTATTTTTAGTTAGTAGTCCTAAATAGGCTGAGACCATTAACCTAACTTTAAAGAATTTTACCATTGAGGGACTCTAAAGAGCTAAAGAGAGAGTAACACAAACACAGAGACAGTAGATGCATGTATTGTGATGTTAGCTGTGTAGAGGCAGTGAGGTGTCCCTCCCCACAGTGGCTGACTGTTGCCCTCTCTTCCTCTGCAGCTGAATGGCAGTGGTCAGGTGAAGGTATCCAGTCACTACATCTCCTCTCAGATGCTGGCCCCCCCACCACCCCCCGGCCTGCCCCGTCTGACGCTGCCCCCAGAGTCCAAATCCAGCACCACCTCTGCAGACGCAGCTGCCAGCTCACCCACATCCCCCAGTAAGTGGGACGCTTACAACCCATCCGTTCGTTCGCCCTCTTTGTCCCAGAGACCCAGAGATAGCCAAAAACCCAAACAGCAGCACACACACATCAACAGGTAGACTTAAACCCCAGGGTTTAATAAAGCATACATTTTATTTTTTTAGAATAATTAAAATGTCAAGCAGAACAAGAAACCTAAGAAACTAATGGCTGGCTCAGAGTTAGTGGTCTGGCTCATGTCACAAACCTTTTACACAGTCACAAAGACACACATCTTGGTTTGGTCACCACTACAGTACCTTAATGGAGTCTTGGCTGCTTTTAATTGGATGACACACACACACACACACACACACATTCTACAATTCATTTTTCTCTATTTCTATATCTTTTGAACTTTCTATTCATCAGAACATTCTGAAAAAATATATCACAGTTTCCACGAGAATATTACGCTATATTATATATTAAACTGTTTTCAATATTGATTAGAAAGTAATAAAAAAAAGTTTTTTTCAGCAAATCAACAATTTAGAAGGATTTCTGATGGATCATGTGAAACTGAAGTATGGAGTAATGATGCTGAAAATTCTGCTCTGCATCACAGGAATATATTACATGTTAAAATATGTTAAAATCGGAAACATTAATTTTAAATTCACAATATTACTGTTTTTACTGTATTTTGATCAAATAAATGCAGCCTTGTTGAGCATGAGATACTTTTTTCATGAGAGTTTATTTATATTAATAATTAGAATAAACAATGCCTCATAGTTTTTTAGTTAATTAGCATAACTATTGGCTTTTTACAGTTCCCAAGCGATGTTGCAACTTGGCACATTAATATATATTTTAAAACCGTTTCAAACTGGATTGTCAAAATTGTGAATATGTTGATTTCAGTCTGAGAGAAACACAACAAGCGTCTTTTCATCGGTAAACTGTATAAAAAGATACATTTGGATGACAAGTCGATCAGCTTTAATGGGCCAGTGCTTGCTGCCCTGTCCATTAATCATGCTAATTTAATTATTAATGCAGAGAACAGCTCAATATGTTCACCATCCGCTGTGCTGCAGAATCCCCGATGATCAATCGCCTCGATACGCCATCACACACTGTCAGACTCAATGCTCGGCATGATTATTCAGCTAAAATCATGTGCCGTAATTATCCAAAGACCCATTTGATAAAGATGGATGCTTTGATTGTTATGTTGTCTTCCCTATTTACCAAAAAGACATGCTGGTAGAATTTCCAAAGAAGCATAAGAAAGCACATCTGCTTTTGTAATTGCTGATAATATAGTCTTCAAGAGATGAAGGCGCACATTCACTAACAACAGACTGCATTTACATAAGCAGACAACAGAATCAGCCTCCGCTAGACAGAATATTTATTTACACAGTCTTCTGACGGTACAAACATATAAACTGACCCAATTACAGCATCAATTCAATGTCTGTGTGAAACAGATGCACGCCATACACACTCAAACTGTATCTGAGATCTGAATTGAATAGAGTAATATTTGCCTGTGTGATTTAAACACTAAATCCACTAGGAACGTTGAAACGTTACTTGAAACTGATATCCCTGTTTGTGATATCAGAGATTTGCATGAGCATTTTTGACACACTCGCCACTTTCTCTGTTCTACTCTTAATCGCAAATTTCTCCCTCTCTTTCAGCATATTCTGCTCCCGGGACGCCACCTGCCAACCGCTCCTTCGTAGGAATTGGTTCTCGAGACCCTGGCAGTCTGTATCAGGCACAGGTATCTCAACACAAACCTCCATACACATTTATTCACACACAAATTCACAGGTCATCCACTCTCAAACATACAAACACACACCTCAGATGAAATTGTAATGCTAATTATAGACAACTACTGGAAACTTTGACTTTTTCTTGGTAACTTTCAGAAACCTAAGCACCATGAAAATGTTAAAAATTCAATCTTGATTTCAAGCAGCACTTGAGAAATTCCCTTGAACCCCAGTGCCCTGAGGAAACACTACAACAGCTCTAGTCTGGACCCTCTGAGAGACCCAACGCTTCTGTGTTCAATTATAGATCAGAAATTAGCAGATACAGTAACTAGAGCTAGACCCTCAGCTGCCGAACGAAATGTGGTCTTTCACATTAAATATAGAGCCAGCCAATGTAGAACACCTTAACCAATAGATGGTCAATTCATAGAATGTCTGAAAAAAATTTTTTAGCTGAAAAAATTAAAATATACATCTTACAAAATTAAGTAATATTTGTTGTTTTAAAAATAAAGTATTTACATAACAATTTTTTTTATGTTTTAAGCATAAAAAGTAAATTATTATTATTATAATTTTTTTGTAATACTGTTTTTATTGCATTTTTCTTAAACACTTACACAACAATGTACATCACATGTCTGTAACATCACATAAAATGTAAAAAAAAAAAAAAACACCGGGGCTCATATTACATGAAAAGTGCAATAGCACAAACCAACATTGGATAATAAAGTATGTACTTTGGAAGTCAGAGTAAACAATACACTGCAATCAATAATAGTCACAGATAAGAGAAGAAAAAAGAAAAAAAGAAAAAAAAGTGTTAGTGCAAATTAAAATATATTTTCAAATGGATATAATACCTAATCAAGCATTTTGTTCCTCTATTATATTGTTCATATCCCCATGCTGTAAATTATTATTTACTTTTTATTATTATTTAAATTATTTTAATATTTTTATTGAAAGAAAGAAAATTACGGAGCCCCGCACGTGACATTCAGGAAAAAAATATGCATTTCGTGGCCACGAATTAACAATGCTTTCCCACGACTTACTAATACGGCAGCATGTTTTACTAATTCGTTCTCTCGTTTGAAGTAAATCGTGCACAAGTTATAATCATTAATTCCTTCATCTTACTAAATCGTGGCCATGATTTACTAAAACAAGGGAACAAATGAATAAGTCATGGGACCGAATTCTTAATTCATAGCCACAATATATCTATATTCTGGTTCGCATGTCATGTGCGGGGCTTCTATTAAATGAATGGAATGATTTTTATTTTTATTTTTTATTATTACATTTTTTTTTGCAGTGCACTATATAATAATGCATTCAGCTTTCATATTTATTAATGACATGTTAACTTTTGCATGCTCAGCAAAATCCTGACCTTATTTTAAAAGGCGTAGAATAGCATCTGACATTTTTGTGATGCTTCACAAATCCTAGAGGACATCAGCCCCTAATAAATAAACTCTTGAAAGGTCTTCCTTAAGTAACAGCTGCAGTTATGTTTGATTTGGCTGGGGAATGCAGCAGTGCTCAGGTAAAATCTGAACTGTGGAGGTGATTGAACTGCATGGCTCAGGAGTCCGAGCGCAATACTGCATTGCAGTGCTTTCAGCTCCATAAAAAAAAGTGTAAATGCACTTGACTGAGCCATGTGATGAGAGAAAGAGAGAGAGACAGAACAGTGATCAATGAATAATGGAAGACTAGTGTGGGTTAATATGTATTTGAAGTCATTATTTGAAAACCTTCAGCCTAACAACCGTTAAGCAGACACAGCAAGTACACAGTTATTGCTGTTGTTTTTCATGCAAGTTGTGCACTAGAGAAAGTCGAAACTTTTCTGGCTCTCAGCTAGATGTGTGTTTGCGTCCCTGTATCATGAGCTAAGAGGGAGGGGAAAGAAGTCGTCAAATGAACAAATGGGGGAAAGGAGGTTCCGTTCACTTGCTCCGAGATGGTCAAATCCAGGGCTGTCTGGTTGCTAGGGGAAACCAGACATGATGTAATTGCCGGATGAACCTGTGCTTGAGGGAGTGGAAAAGGAAGAGTCCACTGCAGACCAATCAAATTGACCAATCTGTCTTGCACAACCGAGACTAACACAGGACTGCCCAGGGAATCACTGACTGTCCAGGCCTAGTTTGACAAAACACAGTTGTCTTTTTCTTTCTTTCACTGTAAAAAGTGAGTACAGTTGTTGTAGCTACATTTTCACTTTCTCTGTAAGCTATGTTTAGAAATTTCTACCTGATCTGACTATAAAAAAAAGACTTTATTGGTCTTAAATTTTTTTTTTTTTTTTACCATGTTTTTCAGTGACACTTTTCATAGTGCAAAAAAAAAAGAAGTTTTTTTATATACCTGTTTTTTCCCCCCTATTAGATTCTTTCTATCTTTATTTTTATTTATTTCTTCCCTCATCTTTACTCTCTCGATCTGTGTTTGTATTAAACTCAGAGTTTAATGGACTTCTGTTGTTTTCTTTTCTCTGATGAAAAGGGTACTTTACTAACAATCTTTGTTTTTAGAGGAGCTTGTATTTCAGCCTCACCTCCAAGCTCTCCCAAAGCATTGTAATTAAAGGGAGAGACTGTCATTTGTTAGGCCCTTGTGGTCTAATATGTCCCCCTACTCGGACTGTGAACCCGCCCTCGTCTCAGCTTTATATTTTCATAACCTAAACCACCTGTCACCAAGACAAAGCCTGTAGCTTTTATAGGGAACTAAATATTTTGTTTGGAGTGAACGCCTAACCACTGTTAGCCTGGGCTCTACTGGTTGCTGTGTTCTCAAGACAGACTGTTTCAGTGAGAAAGTTTCAGCTTTGGATGTGCCCTAGTGCAAAATGAAAATATCAGGCAGCTGGTAAAAAGAAGAATGGCCTGGAATGGTGGACTCAAACCCATGTGATGAGACAAAGCTGGAATGGTTACACTCCAGATTTTATACTTAGATTTTATACTTGGAAAAGTATTTTAACACCAGGCCTTGAGCAATTTGTGTGTGTGTGTGTGTGTGTGTGTGTGTGCGTGCGTGCGTGTGCGTGTGATTTTAGAGTGTCTAAATATTTATATATCTTTTGTAAACTGTTTTTAATCCTAAAAACTGAATATTTGTCAAATTGTTATAAATATAACACAAGTTGTGGCTGTATGGTATGCTCATAGTTTAGCTAATCAAGTGTTATTTTAATATCATTGAGATATTTTTTTTAGTTTTTAATTAATGCCATGCATACTTCCTTTAACCCATTTGTTTATTTTTCTTCTAATCAGCCTTAATTAGTTTGATCTGATTCAGCTTACCAAGATAATGACCACTGAAAATGTCCACAAAGAAAGCAAATAGTATGTAATTTCATGGTACTGTTGGGTAATATAAAATATCTGCTTATTTTAACGTCTTTAGTCAGCTTCACTAGTGGTTTTGCATTGGTTTGCATGTATCAACATTTGGATAGATGAATTTGATAATGACTCCCCATTTCCTGGCCCGTTCCTGTCGGTCTTCACCACATTATTCAAACAAATAACAGCAGAAACTACACACATTCTCTTAAGCTGTTTGTATCATATTTAAGTGTAAATACTAAGCAGGCCATCGGTTTTTGAGGTGAGACAGGAGATTATATCTGCTAAAATATCACAACCAAGAAGAGAGGCATATGTTGCGGCACATTTTTCTACCGAAGAAAAGATTGAGTTTCCATAACATATACTGGAAACATATTAAATCTCAACTTGCCACTCTAGAGAAAGAGAATTGTGGATTTATCTCATCGAGACATTTTCAGTATAGTAAAATGGCGTGTTGTCACTTCAACGCAAAGCCAAGATGATATCCAGAGCTCTGGGATATATATATATATATATATATATATATATATGTGTGTGTTACTTCGGAATATATTTATACATTCAGTTTTTCCTCTCAAGTATTCAAGGGTAACATTTAGCCTTTTGGTTTCGGGTGAAATGAATTCTGACAAAGGAGTGGCTGTAATTGTGCTGTCAAAGTCACGAGGCACGAAAGCACGTACAATCCCCACACTGCCCACTCTCATGGGCTCGGATTTGATCCAGTAATCAACACGAAATATGATTTGGGAAAATTGCATCCCAATACACTATAGTAATCACTCAGAAAGCAGCATCTTTGCGTTTCCCAGCAGTGTCAGCTGTCATTATAAACGTATTTCTCTTCCTGGCAATAGGTTCTAAAGTATGCTTAAGTGTCATGGGTTGTGTAAGGTTAACCTTAGCTCCAGTTTCAATAGCAGTATCAAATGATTGTCAGCTAGCTAGCAAACAGAAGTCAAAATAAACTGATTTGATTAAAAGATATTGATGCACTATATGATTAAAGTTTAATAACTTGTATTATGGCATTTTAGATTCCTGTTCGTACATGTGGATAGATTGTGATACATTGTGCCCTTTTCATTAATCAATGAGCAAGAGCTGCCAAAACTCCTTGGCGCCACTGCTGTTTTTAATACATAAATGTGTCAAACTATTTTAACTTAGATTCTCATGGTTGTACGCTATTATCTGGGCACTGCATTGTGGATTTGGGGAGTCATTACTCTGTGGTTTGGTGTTGTACAAGAATCAAGCCATCAGTCTGATGTATACAAACTTTTCAGCAGGGAATAGGAACAAATTTTCCTTTTTTAGCATTATTAAATCAATACATTTGGGGGTAGTTAAAGACGTCTGTTGGACTGCTGTGAAATTACTTAAACCTTAGTGGAAAACATTGAGCCAGGGGCTTACGGCATGAACTCCTTCCTTCTGTTTTTAAACCTTGTCAAATTTTAAAAAGACTTCAGTGGTCTGTGAATGAAAGCCAAAATCCTGTTATGCTTTTAAAAGCTTTGGGTGGGATCCTGCTGAGCGCTTTCTCTCTCTCTTTCTCAAACTCATAATTTTTTACTCTGTATTAGTTTTAATAGGTTCCTCAATTCTGGTCCCAGGCTAAGTGTTTGCTGCACATTATCAAAAAAGACACTGATTTGTTCTCATTAGGTTCTGCTTTGAATGGCAATGATTTGCATTATTTATGTCCTTACGGACAGGAAACATGTACCACCTACTGTCACCACCACCACCTTCAAAACCTAAACTCACACACACCTCACACACTAGCAGGGTATATGTGTATGTTTCTTAAGCTACTGACACTTTAATGTCCCAGGGTTTATCAAAACTACTGTTACTGCGATGGCAAATCTGAATTTTCATAACCATTACTCCAGTCTTCAGTGTCACATGATCTGCTAGAAATGATTCTAATAGCTGATTTGCTTATCAAGAAACATTTCTTGCTATTAGCAATGTTAATTGTGCTGCTTAATATTTTTGTGTAAACAGTAATATATTTGATCAGAATTCTTTGATGAACATAATGTCGAAAGGAACAGCAATTATTTGAAATAGAAAGGTACTTAATTCTTCTCTGTCATTTTTTTATCAATTTACTGACCCCAGTCTTTTGAACAGTAGTGTACATATCAATCATGAAAAGAATACTTTTATTGTGTATCATTTCTAATCAAATAATATTATCAAATGCATTTGGATACATGAAATGTGTTCATGAAAAATGTGTAATTTCAACCGGAATGCTATTCAACACCAATCATTTGAGATGTGATGGAAATGACATTGTGGTGAAAATGTTTGAGGTTTCAGAAAAATGCCAGAATTGTCCTCTGATGAATGTTTGTCCTGTTTTGGACATTGTTAGTAGAAAAAATAAATCAACTGGTATGAAAAGTGTTTTTTAAGAGAGCCAAAAGTGCCCATAGTTGAAGAAACCCATATAAATCACAGTGTGCATTCAGTTTTGATGAAATGGATCCATCTCAACTAGACTGCGGTCACGTTCAGATGAGTTTTTATCTGATTTAGGTGGATATCCCATAGCACTCCTCCTATTGTGTTACTTGTGCTTGTACAGATGTCTTAGTCATTTTGATTCTCTCTCTTTCTCTCTCTCTTGCAGTCCTGGTATCTGGGGAACTGATTATCACACACACAGACGAACCCGAGGAGGCACAGACATGGATTTGAAAAATCAATTTTTTTGTGGAATTTACAAGAAAAAAGTTGTGAACGAGATGCAAGAGGGAAAATCAGATATATATGCAGTATTTGTATATATATACACACACACACACACACACACACACACACATATATATATATACACAATATGTGTGTATAGATATATGTGCACACATATTTATATATGCATAACAACGTACAGTATAAGATGCTTCAATACACTTTTTTTTGTTGAAAAAAAGACAATGGAAATGGAGAAGAGCGTGAGAGAATTGCCATAGATGGAACGGCAGAAAAGAAGACAAAAGAGGAGGATGTTTTTTCTGGGAGGGCAGCCCGAACTATGGCGTACATTGCTGGAAGTGTCGAAAAGGCCCACCCTGACTCCCTGCCTCTTGGAATGCCTCTCCTCAACCCCCTCCTTCTGCTACAGGTGCTGCTTCCTCCTATATGCAAAATAAGTATCCTTTATTTTCTTAACGAACAGGGACGAGAAACCTCAAGGAAAGGGTTTTTCCGCTAGCATTTCGCCACAGGTTTGGAGGTGAGCATGGTCTATTTTTATTCTTTTTTTAAGTGCGCAAAGGCAACACGACATGGAAAAGGAAACATTGATGCTTCCGTTCACACAGCATTGTGGAAAAAGAAACAAAAAGGCTCCTTTTCATCCAGTTTATTGACAATCATGTTTCTGCGTCCTTGGTTTCGTTCAGAGGGTGATGTTTTCTAAATTACATTCTCCACCGTTTGTAACGGAGTCCACTTTTTGGTGGAAGCCCGTCATGTTTTTTGTACATCGGAGGAATATTAGTGGTACCTCAGTGACATTATACATCACAGTCAGCGTGTATACACACATGCACACACACACTTACATGTAAACACACCTATATAGAGGCAATGGCATGTACTGTTAAAGGCTACACGAGGTGTGTGAGAGCTGTAATACAGCCTTCATAGGATGAGCCAGGGAATAGCAGGGGTGAATTAGCACCTTCCTCTCTTCGCAATATGAAAGCCCCTCATTCCCTGGACCCGCTGTAAGTGTGTGTGTGCGCGTGTGCGTCCGTGTGTTTGTCCTTGTCATAAACATTGGTAGTCCCTTATTCATCTCTGTGAGTTCACAGATTAGGGGTTTTTTGATTCATGTAGATCCGTGGATTTTTCCACATAGTGACAAAGGGAGTTGAAATATAGTTCTGTCATTACTTAGACAGTATTGGGTGTAGAGGATAGAAGTTTTCTCTCTGTGTAATTTGTTTAAATTCATTGGAAATTACAGGCATTGCACTACTTTGAATTTTTAATTTTCCTCTTTTGCAAATTCCTGTTCGGCCTAATCATACGGAATGCTGCGAATCTATTATTTTTGTCATGTTCTGATCTCACGGTAGATGAGGGTTGGTTTCCCAGAAGCTAAAAAGCTGATCAGAACAATCCTACATTTTCTATGTAAATGTCTCCATGTTTATGTGATTACTTTTATACAATTCCCATAGTTTAAGAAGAAAACAAAACAGGCTTATCTTTTTCCCCATGTTTCTATTTCAAAAAACGATGACTGTTTTTATTTTGAAGCATATTATACACTTTAATCCGTAGGAATGTCAATGATTTGGATGTTTGACGTGAGACGGGCTGTAATGCCCAAAGATGACAATACAAAGAGGTCAGTCAGTGGCTAAGCTCCCAGAGTTCATTGGGAGGTGGACGCCTACGACCAGCATGTCTCTGGCCGGTTGCCTCAGAAATGGGTTATTCTGCACTCTGGGATGTGTTGATTTGTACTAATGAAATAACATCAGGGCTTAATCTACAACGCTACCGAACCCAAATCAAGAAGCCATGAAAAGTGCCTGAGACATTGCGAGATTTTCATTTAAAATCTTCCTCTTTTTTTAAAGACTTGGATGTTTTGCTTCATCTACTGTGGGTTGTTGTTGTAGAAGTTCAAGGGGTTGTTTTTATGCCCAGAGAGATATTTTAAAGGGCCTAGCAAGCCCCCAAGCCCCTCATCAGCTGCATGGGCTAACGCTTAGCCACAGGAAACGCAGATGGCTGAACAAAACACACACACACACACACACACACACCCTTATATTCTGCCGGAACATGACAAAATCAACACATATCAGAGATTAACTAGGTACCCTTACAAACACACACACCGATATGAAATAATATCCACACACTCTGGTTGCTTTTGCTAACCTTTTATAATGGCTTTGCATAGACATTCTGTTGAGTTGACCATAGACCCAGAATACATACAACATGACTTGTTTTAATGGTGCTGATATGAAAATTATATGGAAATCTCTATATATGAGTTATATATAACTGTGCATGGTGCTTTCAAAAGAAAAATCATGAGAATTAAGCTCAAACGACCACCTTATCGCTGACATGGGCGCATGGCAGATAATCTTAGTATTGGCTCTAAAGCTAAATGCTCCCCGACTTCTCCTTAATGACCCCCCTTGAGCAAAGAGCCAATGACACAGATGGATTTTACCTTTGTACCACATTGGTTTTGACTTTTATCCTATGATCCCTCTTCTACTTTGCACGATATTTTATAAACATATTATGTGCCTTGCCTTTAGTTAAGAACGATAATGCGTAATTTCAAAGGAGTTGATTTTTTTTTTTTTTTTTTTTTTTTTTTTTTTACAAATGTAACCAGGTGTCACCAAGGAAAAAAATGCTGCATGTTTGATTGCCTGTCGTAATCAGATTAAGACTAACAGGTTACCTGATAGCTGTAGTTTTGGATGGGTGAGAGAAGCTTTTTTTTTTACCTTCTTCCTCTTTTAAAAGCACCGTAGTTGGCATGAAATCTTCCTTGCATTATTTTGTTACCATTATTTCACTCTACTTTTCATATAATGAGAAAGTAACACAATCTGTGAAAGATGCGGTACCAGCTCTCTCCATATCAGCCCTGAGCTGATATTTTGATTCCCTTTCATGTTAGGCTTCTCTTAAATTGTTTAGATTGTATGTTATCATGTATTTAAATGAGTTTGTACCCATTATGGATGTGAAGAGGAGAGGCCAGAGATTAAAACTAGATAGCCATCCTCTATAAATCCATTAACTAGTTTTGATTAGTTTTAAATTCTACAACTAAGCACTTAGCAAATTATTTTGCAATCAACAAGACTTTACATCCCCACAGCATGATTTTAGCTTTTTGTCAAAGGGTCAAATTTACATTTCATTATTTCTGAAAACCTACGCATTGTTAAAAGGATAGTTCACCACAAAAGGAAGTACACAAAAATGTAGTCATTATTTATTCGCCCTCGTGTAGTTTCTTGACTTTCTTTCATTTTTCAATGCACACAAAACAAGATATTTTGAAAAAGCTTGTTCACACAATGAAAGTCAGAGAGACTAATGTTGATTTGGACCCCATTGACTTTTCAATGTGCGTAAAAAAAAACCTTTTTCAGTTCCACAGAAATAAAGAAATGAAGTCATACAGGTTTAGAAAAACATGAGGGCGAATAACTAATGACAAAATGTGAACTGTCCATTTAACCACTTTTTGAGGGCTCACAACACTGGCTGCAATAGAATATGTAGTAATGTTTGATGATTTCTTTAATTAGTGATTAAGTTGTTTTACCAATCGAGTCCCTTGTATATGTCCATGTGTTGATTGTAGAACGCATTCATAGAGAGTAGCTGAAATGTATTTGTCCAGTTCAACATACAGACACAAGAACTGCTGACTTTGTGTCTTCTTAGAAAATGAATGAATACACCAGGATGATTTTCTTCTTTTTATAAAATTAGATGGTAGGAGATAATTTATAATTTGTAGCATGTAGTGTCAGGGGAGTATATTGCGGAGGAGAAGATATTGTGTATTTCTGGAGCTGGGTCAGGAGAGGCCATGTTGTAGTTTGTGATGCAGTGTACAGTATTGTTTCTGCAATGGATATTGCAACGCTGGTAGCTAATACGATTTGCTGGTAGCTATTTAAAAGTTTAAGTCGAACGAGAAAGAACGAGAGATTTTGTTTACATGATGCCTGTGGTAAGATCTTGATCGTGGATGATTTGTTGAGTCTGCCGTTGTCCACCCTGGCCGAATCGGAGTGCTGAAGCCAAACGGCATTCCATCTTTACCTTGATCCAAACTTTTGCAGAAGTGCTAGCTTCATTAAGCAAGCAATTTTTCTTGTGTTTAACAGGACAGGCGATGGGACAGGGGTCTGCCTCGAAGCGTGGGGTGCAGTTGGAATTATTTCATGCTGTTTTTTGTTTAGTCTAAACCGTATTGAAGCAAAAATGGCAAACTTGTGTTCGTTTTAAATGAGCTGAAGCTCTCACGGCGTCTCTCCGGTACAGACTCGCATGGCCCGCCGCCTGTCCCGTGAAGATTTGCACTGCTCCATTTTCATCTTTCTAAAGCTGTCAACCCTCTGGCCAGGGTGCAATGATGGGCTCAGTAGAACAGGGGTCTGAAGGTGGTTTCGCCAGCACAGCGGCTCTGTAGTGAGCTCTGTGCGCATGAGTCTTCTTCGTTTGCTTTTTGTATTGGCTAACATTGGCTACACACGGCCGAGAGATCGAAACACTTCAAGAGCAGGTTGTTACCCCAGTGTGTGCTTTTTAAAGTGGCCACAGGTGATGATTGAACTTGCTATGACGTGAATAATGCATTAGAGCTGATGCATTTAAAAAGAAACATTATCTTACTGTTTGATTTCGAAACCCTTTTTATAGAGCGATGATTATCATTTTTATGCTTGTTGTTGAAATGTTACATTTTGAACACCGTTATCTTGTGTATAAATGCTTACCATATTTCCAGTAGAATGAGGCGAAATGTATATTAAAAATGTCTTTTTGTAAGAGAAAATATGTTTTTGTTTGTTTGTTTGTTTGGATTTAGTAGTCATAAGCTTGTGGTCGAGCCACACAAAAAATTTGAAAGCTCCTTCTAAAGGATCTGCTGTTGAGAATATAATGTCAGCGCCATAAGCACACACCTTTCACAGTTATCAAGTGTTATTTTGATCACAAAATACGAACTTTAGTAAATTCAGCATCACTTGTCGTCATTTTAAACCGAGCCTGTTTATGCTGGTTCCATTGCCTTTTTTTGTTATATTCAAGACTTATTTTAAACCTCAGCTCTTATTTTTTCTCTTCTGTCATGCAAAAGCTTCAAGATCTTTAAACACATTTTACTGTACTTCTACTTTGCACTAGATATTCTGGTATTAATAATAATAATACTTCTTTTTAAGGTTTGCTTCTCTGGGGATATTTCTCAGCCTTGATAACGTACCGTGATGATGATAAAAAAAATGAAAGAGAGATAGAGCTGCTTGAATGGCACCCTTTTATTTAGCTGTTGTCATTTATGTGAAAAATGTACCCTTTTAAGATGCTACAACAATCATTTTTGAAATCAGTACTTTGCGTTTTTCCATTAAAGATCTAAACATCCTTAAAACAAAATACATTTACATGAGAATCAAGACTATAAGATATTAAGAGAAAATATCTTGAATTAAGTGAATTTGTCTTACCCACTTGTATTCAGCAAGGATGCATGAAATTGATCAAAAGGGAAAAAAATGTTTCATAAAAACATTTTTTGAAACGGCATCCATTTATCACAGAATCCTGAGAAAAAGTATCGCAGTTTCCACAAAACTATTGAGCTGCAACATTGATAATAAGAAAAAAATGTTTCTTGAGCACCAAATCAGTATGTTAGAATGATTTCTAAAGGATCATGTGACACTGAAGAATAATGATGCTGAAAATTCAGCTTTGCCATCACAGGAATATGTTTAAATAAATGCAGCCATGTTGAGCATAAGATACTTCTTTCAAAAACATAAAAAATGTTACTGACCTTAAACTTTTGAATAGTTGTGTACAGTATAAATATATTGTAAAAAAAGAGGATGTTTAGGCCTTTTTACTTGAAAAATATATAACAATACAGATTTTTTTTTTTTTTTTTTGCAGAGTAGTTTCTTAAATCACCTGTGGACAATCAGTGGCATGGCTTACTTCAACCCATTGATAGTTTTATGGAGCATGCATAACTCGCAGGATTTTAGACCTCACTCTTCTGAGTGCCTTCCTGGATTCAGCATAGAGCTGTTGGATGTGGGTTTACGCTGTGTGATCTTCCCCTGTTTTTGTAAGATCAACCTACTCATGCCTGGAATGTGCGTCGCTGAAAAGATTGTTTAATTCCGAGGGCCAGGCACTTTAATTAGTCATTGACACATGTAATTATGCTGAATAGAATGTAAATTTCCCCGGTCCAATTTCCCTGTTCACCCACGGACATAAACAGGATGTGAGCGAGGAGACCCTACTCAGGCATACGTGAGAGAATTAGACATGCATGAGTGTTTCACTCTTACGGTTTCCTTTTGCGGTCTGCGTAATGTAAACCTTGCAATACCATGAGCTTTGCACGGTGGAGGTAGATAGAAACGTGAACATGTGGTCAGATCTTTGTTTTGTCTCCTCTCAGTAAGGGCTGGACATCCTCTTCAGGGCTGAGGCACTGGAATGCAGTTTCTACTCTTTCCTTCCTTCCATTTTCAATGTTGGC